ATAGTAGCCATACACCATGGTGCATTACATAATGAGAAGGCTTCCCCCTCTGTGCCATCTACCATAATAGATGACACATGTACTACAGCGGATGAAACATGTGTCGTGACTAATGGTGCATTTTGGACAATGTCCAAATTGCCCTCTTTGATGCATATGTGTGATGATAATTGTGGCTATGCTTTTGTTATCTCCTTGTGAATGTTTTAAACTATTATTTGAGCTTAAACATCTTTTCAAAAAGGTTTCTTGGGATCATAACTTTTGAACTTATTTTATTAAACCTTGTGTTATGGTAATATAATATAAAGAATTATCTTAATCTTGGTAATTATAACGGTATTGTGTGTTGTGTTTTGATAATGTCAAGGTAGATACTACACTTTGCCCATAATAAAATTACAAAGAAAGCTCTTGAAGATCAAGCAAGGCAGTTTTTGGATCAATTTAAGGACAAGGGAGCAATAATGACACTTTATTTCTCAATCCTTATTGCCAGAAGTGAGCTACTTTCTAGCTACTTTTGATGCAAGTAAATTTTTTTTATATTTACTTATTCGATAACACTTGTTATTTCTCATTGAATGCTTATTATGGTTAACTTTGTTATTTCAAAAATTTGGTATCTTAATCCTCTTAATGGAGAACTAAGCAACATGCCAAATATGGTAGAACTTTTTAATATGTAAGTTGAATTTTTAACAATTATTATTTATATATATATATATATATATATATAACTTCTAACATTTATTCTTTACTTTCTTCTTAGAGCTATGGTATTGCATCGTACTGCGACCAACAAGATCTTGTCCCCTAGTTTGAGAGCATTGGACTCTTACAAGAAATGGGTCACCATTAAGGTATTCATCTAATTGGGTGAGTTTTTAATTAACAAATCATTGCCTTTTAACCATTATTTCATTGATGTGTGGTTTTTTTTTACAGTGTTCACTCCAGTCAGATTAGAGCAATAATTATGGTTATTGTCTGATGAGATCCCTAAAGGACATCATCATCCATGCTCTTATCACATTATATAACAAGGTATATATTAAATTTAATTATACTTTAATTATAAATTTTAACCAACTTTAGTTAGGTAGATATTAACTTAAATTTATTGTGGCTCTTTGCATATAGTACTTCAAGGACAACAACTACATTCAATATGCAACTGCATGTAATATCCTTAATTTTAATTTGTAAATTTCAAGTGTTAAAAAGCGTAAATTGGTAAAATTAAGTGATTAATAGATTAATGGTGTTTTTGGATTGCTAATAAGGTTATTGAGTTATTGGACAACGTTGGAACTAGGCTAGATTCAAGTAGACTAAGGCACTAAGTGAGGCCCAAAATTGTTTCTAGCCTCACTGTGCCATGCGCTGAAGTAGATGTGTAAAAATCTGATTCAATCAAATTGCACGCACATGAGAAATCAGAGGGAGAAGAAAGAGGAAACTCGAAGGGGCGACAGAGGTAGAGTTGAGGTATACTAATGCTTCACTTTATGGACATTTTAGAGGCAATTTGAGCTAACAACACACTTCGGTAAGCTTCCTATCCACTCTCCTTCCTCTTTATGTGAGCTTTTTATGGATTTGGGAATGATAGATTGTTGTTTTTGGCTCCTCTTAGGTTCTAACCAAACCCATTGTGTTCTTTGGGTTCTTGGGGGTTAAATCAAGTTTTTAAATCTAGATTTAAGGATTTTATAGTGATTTAGAGTTTTGAATTAGGGTTTGGATGAATCCTAAGTGAAAATTGGGTAATTAGAAGCAACGTGGGTGAAGAATTGATGTTAACTAACTGCTTGGGTGTTAAATGAAATTTATGGAGTGTATTAGAGGTGTTAATTTTGCTAAATTAAAAATTTAAGTATAGTGGGTACCTAAAATTAGGCTAAAAAGAGGTTTAATTAGATTTATAATTGATGATTAGTGTTTGATCTTATAGACTAAATATTAATAGAGCCTCGTAGAGTTAATGGACTCTTGTGGAGTAGCTATTTGCCATAGTAACCCCTTTTTATGACAAAAGGTTTGAGGTAATTGAATAATTTAATCATTTTTCATGTGTGTTTAAGTGGGTATAAGTTTTGCAAATATATATTTTATGGAAATTATGATTTATGTTTGAATGGTTGATGTTTTAGGAAAAAAAACTTGTGTGAAGTGGAATTGAAATAAAGTATTGTTTTATGCTTAAACCCCTTTTATGTTTAATTGTAAATGATTGCAAAATCGGATATAAGTTGAAATATTAGTGCTTGTTTTTATGAGTAATCGTGTATGATTGAAATGTCATGAGCATGATCATTGTGAGTGTGTTGGAGTTTATCTTAGTGTTGTAAGGGCACATTATATGAAATTCATATGATATATTGGCACAATGGAGGCCCTGATGCACTGTCCTTATTGTTTGGAAGTCCTAATAGGTAGATTAAGCATACAACACCCCAGATATTTGAAAAATGAGGAATCTATGGTCTTTAAAGAGGTGAAGGCATCTTCGGCTGAGGTTGCTTCCCATGATTAGTGAGCTTGAGTCGTTTTAATCATATGGACTTGATCCTATTGTGTTTTAAACTACAGATTCATTTGAAGAAAATAAGGAAGATATAAGGTGGAGAATGTTGATCATGCATTGTATGAAATGGAATACTATAATCATATGTTTGTATGTCTGATAACTTGTTTTATTTACCACTTAACATACTTATATGCTATTTTGATATACTTGTAAATAGATTAGATTGTTTGGTTACTAAGTCATCGACTCACTCCCGTAATTATATTTTATAAGTGAAGGCTCTAATAGGGGAAAAGGGAAGGGGGACTCTATCGAGTTTGATGAGCTTGGATTTGTATAGCCTTCTCTCTCTTTTGGGTATATCATGTAACAAATTATTTACACTTATGCCAACTTTAGGGCATATGTTGTTTTGGTGCACTTGCATGATGAATTATGTTGTTTTAATGTATTTCGTGCTAGGTTGTTATATATGAGATGGAATTTATTGTAAAAGGCCGAAATGCTAGTACAAGTATCGTTATTGTGATGATTAAATTTGTATGGAGGATTATGGTAATATTATGTGCAAATTCACTTACACCCTTTGATTGTTATGGAATCAAGTTTTATAGACCAAATTGTGTTTGAAATGTATGTAATGATATATGACTATTTAATTAGGTACATTGTAGTCCATTTGAGTTGGTTCAAGTGATCTTAGGGCTATTGGCACTTGGTTAGTAGTTTTGAGTACCTTGGGGTGAGTTTTTGAGTCATTTTGTGCCAAAGTGTCCAACTTTTTAGTGGCAAAGAGTGTTGTTATGAAACTAATGCTAATAGCTAATTGGCTTAAAAAACTACATGTGGATAATTGAATCGCTCGAATCAACTATTGAATGATAAAATGGCATATTTCAAAAGTAGGGGTGAGCATCGGTCGGTTCGGTTCGATCTCAAAATATGCAGAACCGATCGATCGAATAACACTAAAAATGAAAACCGAATCGAACCGAACAAGCCAATCGAACCAAACAAGGACCGAACCGAAAATTGATAATTCGGTTCGGTCGGTTAATTTGGTTTTTCGATTTGGGCCTATTTTTTAAATATTAAAACAAACAACACTACAAAATTGGGCCTTTTTTTCTATTCATTTTTTTCAATATGAGCCCATTCTAATTATACCCATATGACATAAAGTCCAAATATTATAAAGGCATGGATAATCAAATAAACAACCATAGATAAACACCGATGATCAAATAATAGCCTCATAATTCAGTCACAATACCTACTGATGAGAGTGACTGATTGAAATGGGGTTTCAAGTGATGTTATTATTTTTTATTCTTTATTAAAATAAAAAATAAAAATAAAAATAAAATAATTTATAAATTAAATATAATTTATAAATTAATAAATTATATGTAATTCGGTCGGTTCGGTCTGTTCGATTTTAAATTTTACTAACCGAATCGAACCGATCAACCGAAATATTTAAAATAAAAAACCGAATTGAACCGAAAAATCAAATAGACCGAATCAAATAGACAAAATTCAATTCGATTCGATTCAATTTTCGATTTCGGTTCGGTTTTGCTCACCCCTATTCAAAAGTGTTGTTATGACAGCAACCCTGTGTTGTGGCTCACTGCATAGCAAGGGGGCTTCCCTTTTTAGTGCTTGTATGTGATGATAATTGTGTCCATGCTTTTGTTTTCTTTTCCTATATGTTTTAAACTCTTGTTTGAGCTCAAATATTTTTTTTTTAAAAAGGGTTTCAATAGAGAAAAGGACAAGAATTTTAGGTCTCCTTTGATTACTAGAAAGGATTGAAATGAAATGGGTTTAGTTTATGAGGTTGAATTTTAGGTTTCCTATACTAGAAAGGATTGAATTTTAGGTTTCCTATACTACAAATGAAATGGGTTAAAAAATAAAAAAAAAAGATGATCAAAAGGGATAAGTATATCACACTCATAAGGGGAGAGGGGTAATTAGTTTATGAGGTTGAAAATTATAATTCATGAAATTTTTGAAGGGTGTGATGATTTTTACATTTGTAGTATATAATAATGAGTTTTATCATACTTATCATGAGGAGGAAGAGTGATTTAGTTTATTTTTATTTTAACTTTTTCAATCCATTCCATCCTAGTAACCAAATGGAACCTTAGTATATACTTAATATATTAAATTAAAATTTTAATATATTAAGTATATTTAATACATGCTTAATATATTTAGTCTTATATATTTAATATATTTTTATTTCATCAAATCATGACAAATGAATTTTAATACAATAATAATATTAATATTAATTACAAAATTTTATTATGAAATAAATAATTTATAAAATTTTCATGTGTCAAAATTTAATTAAAAATGAACACCATAAATATAAGTATATAAATATTTATCTTAAAAAACTTATTTTTCAAAAAAGAAAACAGAAGAAAAGGCAGAAAATCATCGCCTATGCGTTTGAGACAGGCACTGCCTAGAGCCAATTTGCGTGGCTGGAAAGCGAAACCTAGAACCACTTTGAAGAGGGAAATCGAGGAAGGTAAACTATGGAAGTGCCGGGGTCGTCCAAGAAGATGATTGCAACGCAGGAGGAGATGGTGGAAGCTAGGGTTCCGCTGCCCTATAGAGATCAATGTGCCCACTTACTCATCCCTCTCAACAAGTGCAGACAGGCGGGGTTCTATCTCCCATGGAAGTGCGAGACCGAGCGACACGCCTATGAGAAGTGCGAGTATGAGCTTGTCATGGAAAGAATGCTCCAGATGCAGAAGATCCGTGAGGAAGAGGCCAAGTTGAAACAAGCACAGAAGCAGGGCATTACCCTAATCCCCAAAACTGCTAATATCTGATTCTACGCAGGTTTAGCTTTTTCTCCCTTTGTTCCCCCCAACCCCCCCCCCCCCGGCGGGTATTTCATTGTCTTTATCATATGAACTTGGCACCATCTAGTTGTAACATTTTCTTTGCTTTGCTATTACTCAATGCTCTAACGCTGAATTGTTTGTTTTCATCCATGAATGATCACTATTAAGGGTGTTGTATTTTTCGAAGTAAAGAAACTGATATAGAGTTTTGCAACGAGTGGTTTGTGGGAGTGTAAATTGATGCACATTTTGTTATTTGCGTCTGAGGCTTTTGTGCCTGATGAAAAAGAACTAGTTCTTTTGTGCTCATCATAGTTTCTTCCTTAATTTCTCCATTATGTGTCCCTTTTATTTGGCTAGATATTATCTCTATGATGAACACTGCTATACCCGCTAGTAGTTGGTCAGTACTACAATGAGTTCTTTTTGTAGACTTTAGAAGGTATTTTGTACAGTACTCTTGGAATACTGTAATTGAACTCTTTCTAATCATACTGTACTTTCTATTTGACATGGTGATTCCTCTATGTGATCTTGCCACCTCTATTCTAAGGAAGTACCTCAAATTTCCAAAATCTTTTACTTCAAATGCTAATGCGCTTAGGGTCATCTATGATAATTACAATTACAATATCATCTACATACACTATCAACAATAAGCTCTTTTTGTAGACTCTACAAGGTATTTTGTACAGGACTCTTGGAATACTGTTATTGAACCCTTTCTAATCATACTGTACTTTCTATTTGACATGCTTATGCGCTTAGTGTCATCTATGATAATTACAATTACAATAACATCTACATACATCATCAACAAAGACGTCTTTTTACTTGTGTGACGGGCAATATGATTTGTTTAGCATTGAGTATAGGATGTATAGCAAAGCTACTTTGCCGCTTCAGTAAGCCATGCTCTTGGCAGTTTCAACCCATATAAGGACTTGAATAGCCTTCACACCCTTGTAGATATATTCCGATAATCTGATTTGAGAGTCTTGGCAGTATCTTCATGCCATTTGAGAAGGCATTCTTCACATCTAATTGATGTAGGGGTCACTCTAAGTTTGGTATAAATGAGAGAAAAATCTTTTTAGTATTCAATTTTGCTACTGGGGGAAATGTTCATTTTCATTAGTAGTCAATTTCATGAATTTGAATGAACCCTTTAGCAACCAATCTTGCATTGAGCCTGTTTATACTGCCATCTTGATTGTACTTAATGGTGAAACTCATTTGCATCCCATGGAGGTCGTTCTTTTGGGTAATTTTGTAATCTTCTGAGTCTGGTTTTTCTCTAAAGCCCGTAGCTTATCTAGCATGACCTGTCTCCATCTAAGATCTGAGTAAGCTTCCTGAAAGTTTCTTGGTATCTCATCTGTTCATTGGCAACACTAGCAACAAATGTTTGAAGTTTTGGGGATAACTTCTCATAAGAGACATGTATGTTGATAGGATGCTTCGTGCAAGATCCTGCCCTCTTAGCGCAGCAGGCTACTCTAACACTTCAGGATTCAGAGTTGGAGTAGAATCTTTGTTTTGCATAGGAATGTAAAGGACTTCCTCTGTGTTATGTTGTCTTGCACTTCTCTTATTCCTTCATAATATGTCTGAAACTCCTTGGCACCCCTCTCACTTTTCTCCAGGTCATTCAAGGACTGGTCTGATTTGATTTTATTGAATGTCTGATGCATTGATCCGTCATCAGATTTTTTTTTATTGTGTTTTTATTCTGTTTTCTATGTAGCACGGATACTTCAAAAAAGTAAACGTATCCGTATCTAATACGTATCTGATACGATACTTGTAAGATACTTCTGCATACGTATCCGATATTCTAACATTTGTGATATTGTTTTTTTTTTTCAATAATTTTTTACTATATCACTTAAAAACTTGAAAAAACACTTAATATTTTAGTTAATTACTATAAATATCCTTATGTTACTTTAGAAATTCTTGTTTAAAAATCAAAATACCTATACTTATATCATAAAATGTTGAAATATATATTATAAATATCCCTGTACCCGTATCCTAAAATTTTAAAATTTTGCCGTATCTCCGTATCATGCCATATCGTATCAGATACTCGTACCCGTATCTATGCAACCTTATGCATTATTTATTTTCACCTATTTTTTTGAAACCCTAATTTGTTCTGTTGTAGAGGTAGGCATGCTACCTCTAATTTTATAAATTGATAGCTGATCAATTAAAAAAGAAGAGAGGCTGAGAATAACTAAGTGTCATTGAGCTAAACTTTTCAGGTTTGTTGGGGTCAGTTGCGGGTATGATTTAGCCGTTTTCAACTGGTGCAGGGTCAGATATGAGTTGTTACTTCTTCACTGTTGTGTGGGCTAACATCATGCCTGGTTTCATCGTTTTCATTTTGCACAGGAGTATTTGTAGTGGTTCTAGGTGCTTGAATGACATGTACTACAATACTGGACTGCCTGGATTTGTTTCAGGCAAGTGGGTTCTGAAAAATGCCCATTCTCCCGTGGTCTGCCCCAAATGGTATTTTAGGGTAGATAGGTTGTTCGAAGATGTAATATTCATGTTGACAAAATATTTCTCAAGGAGGCTGAGTATCCCTTTTGGGTTGGTGACTGGTGAGTGTCCTAGGAAAATGCATTTATGACCCTGCGGCTCAAGTTGGTTCTCATTGTCATGACAAACAAAGGCTATGCACTCAAAGACTTTTTTGAGGCATGGTAGAGGCCAGAGGGGTGCTAGGTAAGGACTCAAGAAGTTTGTTTTTGAGTGTTTTAAAACTTGAGAATGTGGGATGGTATTCTTTTGGTAAAAAAATATGCTGAGTTAAGAACAACATCTCCATCGAATTGATAAGGTACATAACGTTATGAAATAGCATGATTGCTCTTGCTACTTTAAGAGGTCTATTCTTTCTTTTAACAATGCCATTTTGTTGTGGTGTGTTGACATTATGACATATAAAGTTTGATGAATGATGCCACATGATCAAGGCACTAATTAAAGGTAGAGCTCATATTCTCTTGCATCCACTCCTTAGGATCTGGATTGATTCTTGGTATTGATCAAAAATCAAGTTATGGAAGGTGGTGAATACACTGAATGCGTTTATTTTGCCTTATAAAAGAGCACCTGGAGCAACCTAGTTTGATCATCAATAAAGGTAACAAACCACCTAGTTTTTGAAAGGGCTTCACTTTTCTGTGGCCCCTGTATATCATTGTAAAGAAGAGCAAATGGTTGGGTAGGTTTTTAAGCATGTGAGACATAGGAATTTTTTTACATGTTTGGATAGTTGGCACACATCACATTGGAAAGAAGAGTCACTATTATTAAGCAATTGAAGACAATTTTTTCATATAGCTCAAATCAGGGTAGTCTAATCTATAATACCATAGCATTACATCTTTATTGTTGAGAATTGAATGAAAAACAACTTTGGCATAGCTCAAACATCCTCCTCGTCAAGATAATATAACTCTTCCCATTCCTTAGCATCACTAACCATCCTCCTCGGCAAAGCAGAACCATTTGAAGAGAAGTGAACACTAAAAATTTAAACAACACTACCCTTGCTATTGAGAGTGGTTATGGAGTTATATGATTGGCTAAATTCCCATTTAGAGTAGCTTAGATTGTGTGATGTATTGATCATGTTTCTTGAGCAATTTCCTTCTGTTTCTTGTTTCTACTTGCTTCCTACTCTCTTCCAACTTGACCAGGTTCAAGGCCTCCTTGAGAGAGGGAGAGGTAATTTCTAATTATTCATCCTCTAACCTCTTCATAGGTTGCGTGCTCGTTTGGGAAACACGTTGGAGGCCTAAAAACATGGCTTTGAATCCCAAACCTCATTTTCTTAAAAGTGGTTACCAAACAGCACCAAGTTCCAAAACCAAACAACCACCCCCCCGGCAAAAAAAAAAAAAAAACAAAAGAAAAATCACGTTACAGCCCAAAACCATGGTTAGGAAATAAGCAATACATAGCATGTTGTTGACCAACCTCAGTTTACCCAATTTCAATTTTGGTCAACCTCAATTTATCTAAAAGCAAGTTTGTAGAACCAATTCTACCCAAAGTCAAGGTTTTGCATACCTTGCGTTCAAGTCAAGCAAGAACTTATAAGTTCTCAACCCTTTGAGTTTCGAGTATCTTCTTGTCATGGTTAAATCTGTATGATATGATCTCGGATGAGCGTCAAAGAGGTCAATTTGCTGCCCAATATTCACCAAAGGGCTATAGTATTGCATGACACTCTTCTTGCCTTGCTTGAGTACATGCGATATCTGAGTTGGAAAAGAGTTGCTGTACTATTTACCATTGAATAAATTCTTGCATTATGCCATATTTCCTTGGATGTTGTATCAAGTAGATATCTCAGCTATATTGTCATGGAGTTGCAAAGCCATGGCATTACCATATTGTTTTCTGCAATCCAGGTCTTGCGTAAGAGTGATTTCTATTTTCTAGGGGAAGTGAAGTGGGACAGGACTAGGTTCATGTTATGTGGCTGGCTCATTTATTTGAATGGAAGATACTCTGGTTCGTTGTTGACCCTAGTCCGAAGTTTCATGGAAAACAAACCCCAGGCTCTAACTTATGATGTTCACCTTGAGGATAAGGTGAATGATGGGCTGAATGCTTTTATGCTAGTTGGCGAGGTATCCAAAGCGGCTCCAGGGCTGTTGTGTTACCATCACATGGTGGTGGTGATTTTTTTTTTTAGTTGGGGAAGGGGGAGGGGAGGGAATTGGTTAAAAGTGGGTCTATATAGGGTGTGTATTGATGGAGGAGTAAGGTGGGCATGCGAGTGAATGTGTGGGAAGGCCTAGCATTCTTGGATTGCTTGGAGACTTGGAGTCAGTGTGCATGTATGTTTCTTGGTCATTTTCTTTGTAGAATCTTGTTAGACCACTCTTTCAGGTTATTATTAATTTTAATATCATTTTGAATTTGAGGATGAGTTCCATCAAATTGTCTTTTTTTATATACCTTAATAGAAAGGAGTCGGTACTCATTTTCTGCAACTCTTTCAGTAGAAGGTGCACCCCAGGCTGGTTTCAATTTCCCCTTGATGGCCTTGTATGAGTTCAATTCAATGATTCAATTTTCTTGGTGCCAAATTATCTTTTTCTCCTAGTTTCAGGTTCTTGCAGTTCCTAATAGCTGTCGTTTATATAACACATTTGACACTTTACTTTTGACAGGAACCTTTGCTTGGGTCCGATGTTGCGCTCATGTTTTTCTCCGCCGTTGGTGCAACAAGTAATTGGGAGTGTTTGTGCAGAGACAGGCAGTCTACTTACGAGTTGTGATGTTGTCATTCTCTGTTGTGTAACTATGTCGCAACATTTTTCTTCTCGTCCTGACATATGTTCCAGCATAAATGCATATTGTTTATGATGTTTCTTGCCCTTTTCTTTATTGTGGAACTTTTCTACAGAAAGGAATAATAATAATTCTTGGTTAACAATGGCAGATAAATGCTACTTGCAAGAGTTGTTGGCTTCTGTTAACTGGCATATAAATATCCTTCAAGAAAGCAATTCAGCCATGTAAAAAAAAAAAAAAGGCAATTGAATGATTCCATGTCTAATTCCATTTCCTTTCTTACAATTCTAAGATTTGATGAAATCTGATTCCATTGTAGAGGTTATGGAATTGATTAACTCAACGTGGAGTTGGCTGTGTCAATTTTTTTTTCCTCAAATGCCCTTTCAACTTTGATCTCCACCGATGCCGCTCCGTTCTCTCGATCATCCACTCTGTCACTTCCTCCTCCCCTTTCCTCATGATGACGCATCAGTCGAAGCTTTTCTTCAACATCGTTGATTTGGTTTTGGGCTTCATCATGGGTTTGGATAGTGAGAGGTGAGTCACGTTGAAGGTGAAAGAAGATCTGTCAGTGATTGAATGACAAGTGGTGAGGGAAGCAAGACTCTCCGGCATTGAGGCACTGGTAGCAAGGTGGGAAACTGGGAATGACTTAATTGAGTAGGCACACTTGTGGCAGGCAGTAGCGGTGGACCTGGACATCAAGTTTTGTTCACTGTTTATCAGTGCCTGAATCATCGAGAAGCTTGTATTGAATCGGACCTCCTCGGTGGTTATTGTGAACGGCATTAGCTAAAGGACCACACCTATATTCTACCCCGTCATCATGACGTTCAAACCCATCCTCTCTTTCTTTCTTTCTTTCTTTCTTTCTTTGTCTTTTTTGGATACATCAAAAAGCACATCCTCTCTTTTTCTCTCTCAAGTATTTGGTGTGTAACGAGGAAAGTTTTAGCTGCTAAGTTTTTTTTAAAAAAATAAGGATATTCTGGTCTTTTTTTATTTTAAATACATATACTTGTCAAAATTATATTATGATTTCATTTCATATCAAACATACTTTTAAAATTTAATTCAATTTTATTTTCTATTCTGATTTTGATTTCAATTTCAATTTCAATTCTATCAAAAAATTTTCATTGCACCAAACAAGATTTTTTTTTTATAGTAGGGGGAACTCTGGTTGTGCGGCTTTCTCTTATAGTCTATTTTCTCTTACTTGACTCAGTTTGACCTACTTGACTCAATAGTTAGAGTATTGCTTTCATACGGCGAGAGTCATTGGGTCAAATTCAATAGTAGGTAAAATTGGCTGAAAGCCTTGCTTTTGCCACCATGATAGCAAGCATGAATTGGCAAAGTCAATTGAATGACCAAAGCATCAATTACTTCTACTTGTGGCCTTCTTTAACTGCCTTGAGACCGTAATATTAAGGAACTCCTTGTAGGTTAGGGCTACATAAAGGATTGACTTGACAGAGCTTTAGCCTAATCCGAAGTTTGGTTCTTTTCATGAAAAGAATTGAGTTAGATAACCCGTGGTCTGATCTATTCCTGACATAACCTAAAGCCGAACAAGATTGGACTAATCCAATAAAACTAAGAGATTAGTTTCAGTTTTGTTTAGTATTTCACTTTGTTTTTTTTTCTTTTTCATCTATGAGAGGTAGCACCTTATTTCAACATAATAAACTCAATTAATATAATAAATTATTTATAGTTGCATAAAA